GAGAGTACTTAACGGTAGGCAGTGGCTTAGCTCTGCCCCTGGCATTGCTGAAGTCCATGGCCGTATGTTCGTCTGCATATAAGGGCAATAAAAAATAATAATAATAAAAATAGGCCACGGCAACTTTTAATTTTTATTATTCTTACCCGAACCCACGTTTTAGGTGATTTAAAATCTGCATCGTTCATTTTAACCCCCTAATTTCAATTGCGCATCAGCAATAATAAAAAATAAAAAAAAGTAAAAACTAATTGTATGGGTTCTTTTGTGGGAGTGCTGGAAAGAGAAAATTAGATCTTTGTCTGGGTTTTTCTTCTGTACATATTTAAACGTATATACTCGTAAGTATGTATGTCAGTTTCTGATACTCATAACATAACAATTTACAAGGTACATTAATATAGAGTACCACCTACCACTTTCGTAACAGATATGACCATAGAGATGGTCATGACCATGAGATATGATATGACTGGTGGTAGGACGTATTTTGAGTCCGCACGGGTAGGTACCACCACCCTGCCTATTTCTGCCGTGAATCACTAATGCGTTTCGGTTTGAAAGCCTGGGCCGTTATAATGTTAAAAGTGAGACCCTTACAACTCATGTCTCAAGGTGGGTGGCGGCATTTACGTTGTAGATGTTTATGAGCTCCGGTAACCACTTAACACCAGGTGGGCCGTGAGCTCGTCCACCCATTTAAGCAATAAAAAAAATAAAAATAAAACTGGCTGGTTGCTCACGGGGTGCTTGCCTTCTATGCGACTCAAAATTATGAGCTTGCCCAATTGATGTCTGGGAGACCGCATGCTGTGTCCGAAGAAACTCATAGCACGTTCTTAGCGGATGGATGTTCTCATAACACAGGGAATCCTAATTTAGGGTTGGATAATCGCGCGCTATTTGTTCCCAGTTATTATTATGTTAATTGATCTGTATTGTAACTCTAATGTCTCTTTATGGTTAAACGTCTAATAATTATGACTTATTAGCCGTCTGCTATCTGTGACAGTCTACAAAAATGAAAATAAAGTAGTTGGTCGTAGATGCTCGGGCTCTTCCAAAAAAAATAAAGTAAATTCGGTATCATTTCAATTTATTTCTAATTGATAATCAATTTCCGATAATCAACTTTTATTCTATTCTATTTTTATATAACTATGTTTGTATGGGTGTCTAACGGAAGGTTTTACAAAAACCAACCCAGACAACATGATATTAGATCTAATAGTTACTGAGTATTTCGAACTAGAACAATCTGCTTCTCGTACAACACAAACCATCAGTAGGCGTTCCAGAGTAAGCCATGTTTTTATTGTCGACTAGCTGACCCGGCAGACTTCGTAGTGCCTCAATCGATAAATAAAAGACCTAAACTTTTGTATAAAATAAATTTAAAACAAATAAAAGGAATGCGTCCGAAAGAAAATGTTTTATTTAATTCCAAGCATTTTCATATTTATTTACCTTTTAAACTTTCTCTGGACCAAAATTAGCCAAATCGATCCAGCCGTTCTCGAGTTTTAGAGAGACTAACGAACAGCAATTCATTTTTATATAAATAGATAACATTAAAATTTGTCATTTGCCCAAAAGATTTCCCGTTATTGAGTGCCAATAACTAGACAAAACAATCTACTTTGCTCAAGCACTATGATAGTTCTGAGGCGAAAACAAATTCATACAAATCTGTAGCGTGTGATAAATTATTCAAAAAACATTTTCTTAATAACATGGATTGTTAACAATTATTATGAAAATATCCAGTTAAACTTTGCGTTTAAAATTAAAACTAATAATGTTTGTTATTTGCGAAGCTTTGAAAATATGTAGCAGAATGGAATAAATGTATTTTTAAAACCTTGATAATGGAAAAGGTGAAAAAATCAATAATCGATTCGCTGTGACCATCTCAAGACTAGAAATAAATGATCGTTAAATAAATGAAGCAAATTAATAATCTAGGATTTATAATAAACCGTAGCCTTTTTAGTTTATTTATGTTTTAGGTGTCTAGATTCTCGCATTTCGTATTTGTTGTCATCGTCTTCGAATTAGATCTGAAAACCAAACTTGTTACAGAAAAAGTCACAAGATGCAGTTTCCGCCGCATTCCAATTTCGGAATAGAATGAGGTTATTTAAAATGAGGCACGACGACCAATTTTGGCATTTACGAACTTTGTTAGGACTACCACGTGAATTTCTATTGATAACTAATAACCGTGTGACATTTCGAAACATTCTTAATTTGACCTTTATATATTCTGGGCCAATATATATGGCTATATTTTGGATAATATAAGAGGTCGAAATATCCATTCAAATATGTCCTTAGATGTGTGTCACATGTGGGACACATTTATAAAATTAAGATCTTGCCTATTCCTAAAATACCGTCTAGAGGAACACCGATACGATTAATATACACACAAAAACATGCTCGCGTCTTTGTTAGTTTGTCTGTTATATTATATGTATTCACGCGTCGCTTGGACTTTTGTAATGAAACTTTGTATGGTTCTCATTGGTACTATAGAAGATTCGTCCCGTGTCCGATGCACTGGATCGACCTGCCCTCGAGGTAGGAGCCGATCTGTCGGCGGAGGTATGCGGGGACGCCGTGATAATCCAGCGCCCTCGCGATCACCGACCAGGGCCAATCAACGCAACGCCATCGCCACCCCGCCCCGGGATACGGCTTCGTCGGAGAGGGCACGCACGCGCAGAATTGCGTCTATCGTCGAGCGGCCCTCTCTGAAGCCGTATTGTTCCGCCGAAAGATCGGGACCCGTTTCGGTCAGGTGCCGGACGATGCGGGCCGCGACGATCCTCTCGAGCATCTTGCCCGCCTCGTCCAGCAACACGATGGGGCGATAGCCCGCGGGTGAGTCCGCGGGGCGCCCGTACTTCCGCAGAAGGACCAGTCTGCCCGTCTTCCATTTCGACGGGAACCGTCCCGACTCGAGGCACGCTTCGAAAAGCCCCCCGAGCCGGTTCCCCAGGGCCTCGAAGGCCAAGCTCCAGACCCGGCCGTGAACACCATCAGGGCCGGGGGCCGCGTCCTTCGCTCTCATTTTGGACACGGCCGCATGGATCTCCGCCCCCGTGATAGGGGGAGGGGGCTCCTCGGCAGCGGGAACGCTGGGGCGACGCGGAGGCGTGCCCCACGTGGTGTCCATCTGGGGGGGGCTCAAAGTCCCCCCCCGCTGCCGGCGGGAAGAGTGCCGCAACAAAGATTACTTCCACCTGCCATAAAGCTGTGTTGAATTTTTTTAGTATTAAAAGCTATAAAAGAAATATGATAGTAGTTTTTCTACAAAATGTCGATAGCAAAATAAAAGGCGAAGTGTAAAACCATAAAATGAGACTAATATAGACGAGTCAGCGATTGTGGTTTTTTTTGTTTCCTTTGTAGGTGTCCACCTGATGGTGAGTGGTTACCGTCGCCCATGGACTGCAGCAATGCCAGGGGCTGAACCAAGCCACTGCCTTCGAATAACCTTTTCAACCTCTTTTAAATTAAACTTACTGCATGTATTAATGAAAATACATATAATAACATACGTATTTGTTAGTGGAATTACTTTATCTATTAGTTGGTTTGGTTAGGTGTTTTAATTTCTGGGATAGCCCAGCATCCATATCTAGTATATTTTCTGGTCTTGTGAGCTCGTATGGATAGGTACAACCACTCTACCTATTTCTGCCGTGACGCAATAATGCGTTTTGTGGACCTAGAACTCATGTCTCATGTTGAGTTATGCCATTTGCGTTGTTAACGTCTGCGGACTCCGATAACCACTGGATACTAAGTGAACTGTGAGCTCATCCACCCAATTAAGCAATAAATAAATAAAATAATTACCGGCTATATAAAAATCCGGGGGCGTTTGAGTTAATTCCACAACATTCTCAATTAGCATTGGCGTTTTGGTATTCCAACAGTAGAGTCTTGTGCGATCAACGTTTGTGAAATACAATATACCGTGTCCGATCGTATATTTAAAACCACTAGGATTGATTTCATAGTTATTTAAATCAACCTAAAATGCGTACAGAAATGTTAATAAATAAATAATAAATAAATAAATATTTACTAATAATCACACCACGTTAACTGGTCCCGTGATAAGTTCGTAAAGAACTTGTGTTACAGGTACCAGTTAACGGAAATAAATGTAAGATTTTTATTATACACATACATATATTTAAGACACATCCATAACCCTGGAAAAGACATTTATATTTATCATACAAATACCTTCCCTTGGCGGGATTCGAACCCGCGACCCCCTTGTGTAGTGAACATGTCACTTACCATTACACCAGACGGCCGTTATAAACGTGATTTTTGCATTTTATTAAACGTTGATGGTGTTATAAGAATTTACTCTTGCCGCTTATGAGAATAAGCTATAGTTTTCCTCATTCAAAATGCGTCGGACATTATTTATTCAAAAGATATATTATTATTTATTCAAGAGTTTTCGATGTTAGATTGATATAATTTATTTTTGTTAGTAGATTACAATTTGCATAATTACTGGTGGTAGGACCTCTTGTGAGTCCGCGCGGGTGGGTACCGCGGTAGTGAATCGTAGGAAACTTGTTGGTCGCGATCCGGGTGCTTCGGGAATCTCGAATCCAGGGTCAAGCAGATCACTCGCCACTACTGGAGTAGCAGTCGTCTGTATAATTTGGCCCATGCTTGGTTGTCAAGGTTGCTAACCACTGGTTTATTTGACTACAACCATAATTTATTCATTATAATATGTGTTATACTCGACTCGACATGATTGTTGATTAAGCAGTAGTTTGACTGTCTTAGTACTCCAGTCTAAATTGGCATCGCAAATCGTATGCTCGTTCAGAATATGGCCCGCCGTCTTACTTTAGCCTAGTTCTCTTTGATTCAGAATGGTGGGGTTTAGCGAAATGTGACTTACCATCACCGTCCCTTGATGATTAAAGCTACAACTTAAAAAAAATAAAAATGCATTTCCGTTTTTATATTATATATATTTTATTAACTCATAATTCTGAATCATTTTCTTTCGATCCCTTCCCCTAATCCCTTCAATTGAGACTCAATGTATTCGTCTGTTACATATTTCACCATGTATTTTGGTGAGCCAACGCTTCCTTGAATTTTAATCCTCCAATTGTTAATGAAATACGTACTATTAGTCGGCTGGATGCACTTTGTGTTCCTCAACATTTCTTCGATAGTAGCTCTATGGATTATTAACACTAATCATACAAACACTTATTATTCCACCTATTTCTAGCTATTTCTAATCATAGCGGATCGATAACGGTATACGACAAGTATTACTCAAAATAAATAAAACAAAAACAAAAGTACATATAATAACTGTAGATTAATTGATAAGAAAAAGTCATGAAGTCAAATGTGCAAAAGCAATAAGGAGATACGTGCATTTTCAATGCTGAAGTTCAAAATCGGTTGTTTGACTAGTTATGATATGTTTAGTGTTAAGACCAATCATTACAGAAATACGAATATATTATTTTGATGAAAACTGTCCTCTTAAGTGTCTGTTCTGATCGGAAGGTACAGAATCATAACGGACAACTGTTAAATAATGCGGTTTATTTAATACCACCGTCTTACACCATTTTATTTATTTATTGCTTAGATAGGTGAACGAGCTCACAGTCCGCCCGGTGTTAAGTTGTTACTGGAGCCCATAGATATTTACAACGTAAATGCCGCCACCTATCTTGAGATAGAGTTCTCAGGTCTCAGTATAGTTAAAACGGCTACCCTTCAAACCGAAACGCATTACTGCTTCACGGCAGAAATAGGCAGGGTGGTGGTGCCTACCCATGCGGACACATGCGAGGTCCTACCACTAGTAAATGCACCTGCCATGCATGGACTTGATAGTTTTTCACTTAATAGTGTACTCGTTTATTAATGATTCGATTAAAACGATTAAAAAGATTTGGGACATTCGGTAATCGAAGAATGTATTTGCGATCCCAATGAAACAAATACCTATCTATCTGAGATGTTCAAAAATAATGTACCCTAGTTCTAACATCGCTTATTATGAAATCGGCAGCAGAATTTAGTCTATATTTCAGTAATCTGACGAAGCATGTTGCGGATAATAACATTTACTTTTAGGTTAGGAATATTGTGTTCTTTTTTTTATAATAAACGTTGGCAGTTCTAGTAGCACATTGGCTTGAAAGTTTGGTCTAAGTCTCACAACTTGAGTTGGTAGCATCATACTCTAGCGTCTGGACTCCATCTGCTTTGCATGACTTTTTCATTAATTTTATGGTAAACAGATAAATTACTCACGTATAATCAGCGAAGTTGATATGATTTTCGTTATAAACATCATCAGTCGAGCCCCTATATCTGTTTNCACCATGTATTTTGGTGAGCCAACGCTTCCTTGAATTTTAATCCTCCAATTGTTAATGAAATACGTACTATTAGTCGGCTGGATGCACTTTGTGTTCCTCAACATTTCTTCGATAGTAGCTCTATGGATTATTAACACTAATCATACAAACACTTATTATTCCACCTATTTCTAGCTATTTCTATTCATAGCGGATCGATAACGGTATACGACAAGTATTACTCAAAATAAATAAAACAAAAACAAAAGTACATATAATAACTGTAGATTAATTGATAAGAAAAAGTCATGAAGTCAAATGTGCAAAAGCAATAAGAAGATACGTGCATTTTCAATGCTGAAGTTGAAAAACGGTCCTTTTTTTTTTTTATTGCTTTCGATAGGCAGACGAGCTTACGGCTCATCTGATGGGAAATGATAACCGTCGCCCATAGACATCCAAACTACATCAGTGACTCAGATGCGCTGCCTATCCTGGCCTGGATGGGCAGCCTTATGTATGTTACACCGGCTATCCTGTCCTTCAGACCGGAACACAATATTACTGTTTTGCGGCAGAAATAGACAGGACGGTGGTACCAACCCGGGCGGGCTTCTACACAGAACCCTACCTACCAGTAATAAGTTGATAAGTTATGGTATCTTTAGTGTTAAGACCAATCATTAAAGAAATACGAATATATTATTTTGATGAAAACTGTCCTCTTAAGTGTCTGTTCTGGTCGGAAGGTACAGAATCATAACGGATAACCGTTAAATAATGCGGTTTATTTAATACCACCGTCTTACACCCATAGATATTAGCCCATAGATAGGAGCCCATAGATATTTACAACGTAAATGCCGCCACTTACCTTGAGATAGAGTTCTCAGGTCTCAGTATAGTTAAAACGGCTACCCTTCAAACCGAAACGCATTACTGCTTCACGGCAGAAATAGGCAGGGTGGTGGTGCCTACCCATGTGGACACACGCGAGACCCTACCACTAGTAAATGCACCTGCCATGCATGGACTTCATAGTTTTTCACTTAATAGTGTACTCGTTTATTAATGATTCGATTAAATCGGTTAAAAAGATTTGGGACATTCGATTAAATCGGTTAAAAAGATTTGGGACATTCGGTAATCGAAGAATGTATTTGCGATCCCAATGAAACAAATACCTATCTATCTGAGATGTTCAAAAATAATGTACCCTAGTTCTAACATCGCTTATTATGAAATCGGCAGCAGAATTTAGTCTATATGTTACTTAGGACGATGCTTGCAGCTGAAAGTAAGTATTGTACTTTTTGACGAAGCATGTTGCTGATAACTCTATTTCTGTAATCTGACGAAGCATGTTGCGGATAATAACATTTACTTTTAGGTTAGGAATATTGTGTTCTTTTTTTTATAATAAACGTTGGCAGTTCTAAGTAGCACATTGGCTTGAAAGTTTGGTCTAAGTCTCACAACTTGAGTTGGTAGCATCATACTCTAGCGTCTGGACTCCAGCTGCTTTGCATGACTTTTTCATTAATTTTATGGTAAACAGATAAATTACTCACGTATAATCAGCGAAGTTGATATGATTTTCGTTATAAACATCATCAGTCAAGCCCCTATATCTGTTTACCATGATATAAAAAGTAAGCCCATCTGTGTTTATAGCTGCGAAAAGACATAACGAAAGCCAATTAGAGTTGTTACCCCTTTACAGGATGTCCTTTGTATTGACGAAATTGGTCTTTCTTTATGGTAAACAAGAGCGCGGCTGTGTATCGCTTATATGTCCAAGGACAGAGTTTCTCTGCAATTTGGTACGATTCATTTGTTATTTCGTCTAAACCCTACCAATAAAATATCGTTCCTTAGACCTTTATGGGTGATAGTCAATATCGGGCAGCTTCACTAAAAGTTGTGTTTATTTCTTTTACCACAGTCAAAGGTTTTTCGCAAATAAATATTGGTTGTGACCACCCACCATACGCTTTAGTAGCTTAAAACACTGATGCGAAACATTAGCATAAATACCACATCCCCAGCACTGGTAGAATAACGTCGGCGAATCTAGTCATTGTGCTGTAGAATAAACAGACCAGTGAAAGAACTCAGCCCATGTGGTTTTAAGTGTTTATCGGATCCCATCACATAGACATCACATTCTGAATGTCATCACTCACCTTGAGGCATAATTTGTAAATTTCAGCTGTGTATTTTGTAGCGGTAGGTAGGTACTTTTCCTTTACTGGTCGATTATATATCTGTCAATACAACTTACTTCACAAATATCCTCCCGCCATCGGAGCAGAGTTCATCTATATTATCTGGAGCCGCTGTGTTCATCGACAGTGCGTTTCCAAAGATCTTTTTGCCACGTACTTTCCGGCTTTGGAATGAGCTCCCCTCCACGGTGTTTTCCGAGCGCTATGACATGTCCTTCTTCAAACGAGGCTTGCGGAGAGTACTTAATGGTAGGCAGCGGCTTTGCTCTGCCTCTGGCATTGTTGACGTCTATGAGCGATGGTGACCTTTTTCCATCAGGTGGGTCGTATGCTCGTCTGCCTAAAACGGCAAATTAAAAAAATAAATATGAATTCTAACCACTTATGTAGAAGCCGTTGTCATTCGAAATTCCAGTTAGGAATTGGATATTGTTTACATCCATCGCCGTGTCCATGTTCCAACAGTACATATTAGTGCGATCTTCGTTTGTGAAAAATAAAATGTTGTTATCATAATTGCTGTCATACAAAACTCCCCTTGGGTTTGTATCGCGTTCACTCAGATCCTTAAAATTAAGTTAGGGAATCTTAATGATACAATTTCGTCGGAAAGGCCCTAGCATCCTCATGCCGTTGCTAATATTCGTTTATCATCTATATTCTATAGCATCTCGAGTCGCGTAATCTTAAGAGACCTATTTTTTCTATTGCTGAGACGGATGAACTAGCTCACAAGTTTGATTTTGATTACACGATAAAACAATGCATGCGCTATGTTAGTATTTCGTCAGAAAAATTGGTTCTGTTTACGAAAATCGAACGTTAGCATGGTATCCCTCGATACTATGTAGTACACCGGTAGCTCTATCCTTTCATCATCATCATCTCAGCCTGTCTACTTTCCACTGCTGAACATAGGCCTCTCCAACTGATGTCCAGTGCGGCCGGTCCGCTGCCACCTGCATCCAACGTGACCCAGCAATTTTCACCAGGTCGTCGGTCCATCGGGTAGGTGGCCGTCCCACACTGCGTTTGCCAGTACGTGGTCTCCACTCGAGGATCTTTCTGCCCCATTGGCCGTCCGATCTTCGCACTATGTGGCCTGCCCACTGCTACTTCAGCTTGCTAATCAGTAACTTTCAGTCAGTAACTTTGGTTCTTCTACGGATCTCCTCTATCCTTTAGGCCACAATTTTTTTACCTAGTCGTACCTAGTAAGAATCGTACCTAGTTCCAGTGATATTTCTGTGGAGAAACAATTTTGCGTTCCAGTTTCGAGGATGGGACTGATATTTGTACTAATGTAAAGAATAATTTGATCGGCTATGTCTGAAGAAGAAAGAAGAAAGAAGAGAAGAAGAAAGAAACTGAAATTGAAAAATTGGTTGTGGTGCGAAAAAAGAAAATCATTTTAGTATATACAACAAACTGTAAAATTTTTAATGGCACATTCACAAGTCGGAACCTGCAACTAACCCAATCTACATTGCACTTATCGAGAATATCCAATATCGAAGAAACAGATTAAGTATCAATCTGGGCAATTACACTTTTAATAAATACTAGTGGTACCGCAGTAGTCGAAATTCGACTATAATTAATTGAAATTATTAGTTTCAACATTATTACAGTCCTATTGTTACAGATTTTGCCAAGACTACACTATAGAAAAATACTCGTAATATTAAAGATAAACAATACTAACCTATTCTTAATTTGACTACAGACTTTAAGCAATAACAAAAGTTTGACAATAAACAAAGATTATATGTGTGTGTGTCAAATACATGGTAGTGTGTGTAATGTTTTCTTTATTGATTTAATGTATCTTTTATGCATTATTTAAAAAAATATTAGCATTGTGCACTTCGTCTCTATATTCCATATAAGTGTGGAAAATTTCATACTCCTCCGTCCGCGCAATTTTCGTAAAAAGGGATACAAAATTTTTGCTTCCCATATTAATATATAGATGAATAAATACAGTGCTATATTTACTAAATTCAAAAACCAATTAAACTTTTAACAAACAGGAAATCAGTTTATAACAAATAAGGATAAGTTCGCAAAGACAATAAAGTCCTTTAGAATATTAATACTTTATAATTACATTACTTATAAATTTATTTTTTCTAAACAACATAGTTGGCCATACCAGACATCAAAGCCTGGGCCTGGGACATCACCCTCTGTGTCGCAGGCTAAGCCAGCGTTCGTTCCGGAGCCGGTGCCCAGTGTCTCGGCCTGGGCGAAACCGCTGCCGTACACGAACACGGCTACAACTCCCTCCTCCGCGATTCGTCCCGCCCCCGCGACTCGTCCCTCTCCCGCGACTTGCCCTCCGACCGCGTCCGACAATCTCGCTTTAGCGATCGACTTCTTTCAGTCGATCAAATCTGATCCACCATCGCTCCCGTTTAGCCCGGACTCTACCCCGTCTCCTCAGGATACCGCTGAAGCCATAGACATCTTAACGTCACACATCACCTCGACATTAGATAGGTCATCGAAACAAGTTGTAGCGGAAGACTTCCTTCACCGCTTCAAATTGTCCGACGATATTAGGGAGCTCCTAAGAGCTAAGAACGCCTCAATACGCGCCTACGACAGGTATCCTACCGCGGAAAATCGTATTCGAATGCGTGCCCTACAACGCGACGTAAAGTCTCGCATCGCCGAAGTCCGAGATGCCAGATGGTCTGATTTCTTAGAAGGACTCGCGCCCTCCCAAAGGTCTTACTACCGCTTAGCTCGTACTCTCAAATCGGATACGGTAGTAACTATGCCCCCCCTCGTAGGCCCCTCAGGCCGACTCGCGGCGTTCGATGATGACGAAAAAGCAGAGCTGCTGGCCGATACATTGCAAACCCAGTGCACGCCCAGCACTCAATCCGTGGACCCTGTTCATGTAGAATTAGTAGACAGTGAGGTAGAACGCAGAGCCTCCTTGCCACCCTCGGATGCGTTACCACCCGTCACCCCGATGGAAGTTAAAGACTTGATCAAAGACCTACGTCCTCGCAAGGCTCCCGGTTCCGACGGTATATCCAACCGCGTTATTAAACTTCTACCCGTCCAACTCATCGTGATGTTGGCATCTAT